CCCGATTTCTATTCAAAGGGGGGGATGTTTTAATGCAAAGGAAAAGAAAGGCCAGGCCAGGACAACATGTCAGATTATTTTACACTAATTAGAAAATGTCTGCTGAAATACCCCAAAATGTAATTATTATATGGAGTGAATTAGAGCTGCAAATAACGATTATTTTGCAAATTGGTTAATCTGATGATTATTTTTTAGATGAATTGATTAATAATCAAATAGCGTAAGATTCTTTTAAGAAGACTTTTTATGAAATTAAATCAGGTGAAAGTAAAACTTAACGACTTGAGACGTTCTGAATAAAGCAGATTGACAGACAAAATGTTTTTTAAAATCTTAAATGCAAAATGTTTATATATTTTTTCTGTGTATTCTCATTTTTAGTTCGTATGAAATCGTACGAAAAGCTATGCACCGTAATTTCGTACGTTTTAGACGTTTTTTTCGTCGCATTTCGTCGTATTTTTACGTCTTGCCTCGAGACAAGATATCCTTGCGCATGCGCATCTTACGCACCATTCAATGCATAGAATTTAACATACAATTAACCCTAACTCTAAGATACAAAACAGCAAGCAACCTAGTGAGAGACATCATGAAGTACTTATTGCACTGTCCGTCCCAGTTTTACGTCCGTCCGCGGATCTGCTTTTTTCGTCTGTCTGCCTGCGCACTGATCTGTATTTTCGAGGAAAAACGTCCAAAACGTACGAAATACTGTGCATAACTTTTCGTACGATTTCACACGACCTGATAATGAGAATATGTAGATTTTTTTACAATCTTGGTATAATTATTGCTCTGTCAGCTAAAGGCACGTTTTAGAGTCTCTAAACTCCAGTTAATGATTAATCGATTACTAAATTAGTTGACTATTATTTCAATAATGGATTAATAACCGTTAACCAGATTAATTGTTTCAGCCCTAGAATGAATTTTGTTACATTATTTTTGAAAGCAAAAAACATGTTTTTTCAGTTAAGATTTGAAAAAAAAAACTGCTATGCAGATATAAATCTTTGAAAAATATTTTAATATATAAAAGAGGTTTACAGAGCAACTCTGTTGTGTTCTTGTATTAGTTTTTAAATGAAGTTTAACTCCCAAGTTTTCATCATTTCAATAGTATCATAGTTTTTGCATTTTCAAAGTTTTCATATATATATATATAAATAAAACAAACCTGATGGAGCTCCTTGTATGTAGGTTCACTGTTCATCAGCAAGGTACTTTCATTTATATGCGAAAGTTTGTTTGTTAGAATTGCTTTTTAAACAAAAATCTAAAATAAAATTTGTATTCCAAATATCATTCTTGTAAATTTATATTTATTTGACCTTTTTCAGTTTTGTGTTATTTGAATTACTAGTGTGAATTCATTATTTTCTGTAATGGAAGGGTATGTAAACTTTCAAGAACATCTGCATTTCATTTACACATCATATTTATGTTATTTATTGTGTATTTTGGCTCTTCATATACTCCATTGATCGCATCATAATGACTTAATAAAGCCTTGAGGAACCCCTGAACACTGCGCTGACCAGACGCGCCCGATTTCCGATGACGGCCCCCTTTGGTAATCGGTTAGTTTGATTTGGATTGTGTCATTGTGATAAATGTTTGGTTCATGTCCAAGTTCAAAGAAAGTCGTCAATGTGTTTTGTTTTACTAAAGATGAGGCCAAAATGTAACATAAACCAAGCTAACCAACAAAAACTAAGAGAAGACCCACTGTTTGCAGCTGGCATGAGTTAAACAGACTCAGGGTTCGTCTAAACATGAGTTTATATTTTCAGATAATTCAGATAAAAGTTATTATTATTATGTTATTTATTATGTTGTGGTAAATAGCATGTTTAGTATTTAATCAAGTGAGCAATTTTCTTTCATTATTATTCATTTTATTATCATTATATGCATCATTAAATTATACAGGAATAACCCCAATATCTAATCTAAAAACAACTTCCAATAGGTGTGTGAAACAAAAATCCTATTCTAACTATTAAATTTTAAGTTTTCATGCTTTGCATTCTAATGTTTTAGACGGGATTGTGATCATATTATGTCTTTGTATTAGAAGAGGAGAGAGGAAAAAGATAGAAAGACTGATAGAATAAAAATTGAATTAGAGCGGAACAAAATAGGAACAGTGATGGAAAGATCAGTTGAAGAGAAGGGAGGTAAATCTAGAATAGTAAAGCAGAGAG